GTCTCTCTCTCTCTCTCTCTCTCTCTCTCTCTCTCTCTCTCAATAAACTTACCATAGGATATACAGCACAACTATATGTATAATATTTGTTTTCATCATAATCATACACAACACCCATATATTTGTTGACATAATCCACTGATTTTACAGTCGACCCATTCATTGATATATCGATGATTTGATTGACTTTCTGTATATCAAACTCCCATTCCCTGCCATTTGAAAGCATATAATTTTTCATATCAAATGCCGAAATCTTAAATCTGTATCCATATATTCTGATGCCATTATATGTGCCATTTGTATACATGTATTCACACATGTCTTCGCATTCAATGACAGATATGATGGAAATAATGGTTAAAATAAAATTCATTTTACAATTAGTTTTTAACAAATAAATATAAATATATGTTTAATTGAAATCAAATAAACGGTTTTTAAATAATACATTTATAGTTTTACAAGTTAATAAAATGTAAAATTTTTAAAAATACTACCACCTCGCTCAAAATTGTCAGTAAATTCAATTAATGTACGAGCCGTACGATCCTATAAACCACATTATTCATACTGAATTGTGGTTAAAAATGCATAACAATTAAAAACATTTATTGTGTCAACAATTTCTTTATATTTAAATTTTATTGTTATTTTATTAATGTTACACTAAAACAGTTAATATAACTGCTCATTAACTTCTGTTCTCATTATTATTTAAATAGTTTTACCTCAAAATTTGTGAGAAGATGTATCAAATGTTAGCAATAATTTGTGTGTGTGTATGAGAGAGAGAGAGAGAACTCAGTAAAACTAAACATTTGCATTACAATTAGGGTGACCAGAACGTCCTTTTTTATGGGTTTTGTCCTTTTTTCGACCTCTGAAAACAGAGTAAAGAAGGACGCGTCCTTTTTTTTAAATTTTAGTAATTAAAATATAAAAGGTTAATATGTTTTAAAATATGGGAAATATCATTGATTGCTATGCACTGTAGATCTGTAAAGCTGTAAAGTTTAGACATTACAGCACACAAACAGTAAATAATAATAATAGAGTAGAAATATATTTAAAAATGTGGTAATTGTTAACAGAAAATTATTATAAAAATCAGGTAATTTTGTTTATTAAAAGTGTTTTCATTTAAATATTTATTTAAAATGTGTGACAAAACAAAGGAAAACGCATAGGGTTAAAAAAAATTTGCGTCCTTTTTTGTCCTTTTTTAATGACTATTTTATACCAGTCGTCCTTTTTTAAGAGGATTTTTGGTGGTCACCCTAATTACAATAGATAAACAAAGATAACACGTTTTACACAAACTGTTCGCTCATAAGCTTTTTAGACTACAAACAGAATAATTATTCATTTATTGATAAACACTTAAAATACAATAATACTGTTTTCATGTCGAGTCCATCGATGGCCGGATATTGGGATCCCTATAACTATTTGCTAGTATTGGACACAAACAGATTGATCGCATGGGTGCTGACCATCGATGCAAAGCTCTTACAGTTGAATATTTCTGGGCGCCATATATGCAAAATAGTTAAGTGTGAAAAACAACCACTTTTGGGTCAAATATCGAGACCTATGACAAAGAAGTTCGAGGCTATAGTCGACTACGATGTCGGTGGCCAAGAGTTGGGACACATGTTGTGGTTCAACATCGCGGGTCAGCCCCGGTATTGCTTCACACCTAAAGGCCAGCCGATCTCTCAACAGGTAGTGCAATATATACCAACAATTAATACATGTTTTTAGTGTAAATTATTATTTATTTATATTTTAGTGCAATTCATCCGATAATATGATTCCGTATTCTATGCACTGTTTCAGCGCTAAGTCCGACAATGGCTACCAATGGCTTATGATTATCATAATATTCGTTACTTTAATACTAGTAGTGATGTCAGCATTGATGGCGTGTTTGGTGTACAGAGCGATGACCGAAGAAGAAAAGGATATCACATCTAAGCCAAGAGTTTACCCGAAGTATAAAACAGTGGATCAAAATGTAGACACTTTGCAGCCAATAGTGTCGACGACATCGTTATCTTCGGAGTCGAGTGATAACAGACCCACAGAACTGACAATAAAGAGATCCTCGAAGTCCATAAAGTAATCCTTTTATGGATCAAACAAAACAAATCTTATTTTCATTTTCTATTTTATTATTTGAGATTAATTTTTAATTAAATTTATTAGTTATAAGCTATAACTCATAACTTTAGTTAAATTACTTTTGTTGTCTATTAAACTAAATTCTTTGATTATATTTACAAATTAATAACATTTTTAAACATCTGATTGCATAACAAAACAGTTATTACAAACACTTGTTATAAAAATAAATACCGGTTTGTATTTTAATTATGAAATATGAAAAACAATTGGGATTTGTTAATCAAAAGACAACGCTATTATAAATTGAATTAAAAATAAGTTATTTTAAATAACCTAGATCAGATTGTAGTTTAATCGGATTGTTATTAACTAATCAATATAATTATTTAATATCAATTTTTGTTTTTACAATAATAATACGTTTAAATAAAATGATTATTCTACAATCTAACCACACTTATTAATACTGTATTTTGTTTGTAGTATAATATTTTTACAGATAATATCATATCTTAATTTATTAATCATACAATGTTATACATTTACTTGATTATGCTTATGCTTGTTGATTAGTAATTTACACAGGTTTGATGATTTAAATCGTGTGCGATTTCATAACTGTTAGTTCATTATTAATATTATATTAAAACACCTAACAAGTAAGTAAACAGTTAAGTTTTTTTAATTATGAATGTTTTGAATCTATTACATAATTACATATATAATTCCAATCGGGGTCTTTAAACATTATTATTTATCATAATTATTATTATTATCATTAATTAATTAAATGTAATTCGCATTTAGGTAATTCAATTAAAATTAAATTTTTATGATTTTATTAAATAAATTTATATTTAATATAAAAGTATTATTAAATTTTATTATTAATAGTGCCTCATTTAATGCTCGGTTAATGCAATTAAAAAGTTACTAATCCACATTATGATTGAGCTATTAATTAATTAAGGTAATTACTACACTTACAAATTAAATGTTAACTGGTGAGAATACTACCAAGTAAGAATTAATACAATTATATATTATAAAATTAATACTATTTTCTGTTTATACCATTATACATGTAAACGCTTTTGTTTAAAACTTTGCAAATTGATATAGATTTTAATTAATTAATTACCGAAATCTTATTTCGGTTTTTAGAATTTTAAAATAATAGTTTTAAAAATTAATTTATGATAAATGTTCAGTTCATACATCACACATTCTCATTTATTGCCAACACACTTTTTGCCCTTATATAAAGGGCAAAAACTTTACTTTCTATTAGTCTCTCTCTCTCTCTCTCTCTCTCTCTCATATTATCATTTAAAGGCATTGAAAAACAACTAATACATGATTATTGTTGCCAACACTCAATGTTCCGACACGAGTATCACAAGTCTCTATTATCATTACCATAATTCTGACCTCGTGTTAAGGATTTTATTGTACAGTATTCTATTTTATTCAATCAAACAAATATTTAATACAAAAATTAAATTTATTCAAAACAATATATGATTTAAATTTGTTAAACATGTATTTAATTGCTTATTGAAAGGTAAGGATTTAAGGTAAAATTTGATACAAGTGTAATGTAATTCCGCCTAATAAACAAATATTTACTATCAATAACACAATTTGATGGCAACAATTTTATAGAACATTCTGTACTTTTTGAAATAAACAAGACACTCAAGATACAGTATATTTAAGCAAATAATATTTAAATACGGAAATTGGAAAATTTCCATTAAAAGTTATCATAGTGATTGTTATTTTGGCACTAAAACAAACAATATTAATTAGAAATTCACTCACAAAAACATTGAAGTTAATTTACTACTAATCTGTTAACTGTAATTCACTGAAAAATTACTGATAAAATAACCATTATTGTTTGCAACACTCAACAGAAATATACTGCTAATTGTTATATGTGGGTAATTTTTCAGCCAGTATTGAGTACCGACAAATCACCAAGACTAATTGCAGTGTCTTACAGTACAAATTACAAGTATAATGCTTTAATGAGTGTTACAGCATGTTTTGTGTACCGCAATAAAGTATTTTATAAGGATTAATTTAATAACTTATAAATGCTGTACTGAAATTGCACTTGTTAATTAAATGTTCAAATATTAATGTAAAATTTTTTAATTTCATTTAGACACAGTACGTAATAATGTATTTAAAATTTTTAAATGATATAAATTAAATTAAAAACATTTATAAGTTACTGAACATGTGTCATGAAATTTTATACTTAAATGAATTAGGATATTCAAAATAATTACATTCTATTTGTTTTAACTTAATAATTTATTATTATAATTTTGTTATTTATAGTCAATTACTTATATTTTAAGAAACATGCTAAAATCTTAAATCTTGTAGTTTTTGCTATATTAAAATACATAAAATACACAACAACACTTAAAAACACGAGTACAGGAAAACTCAACTAGATCATTTATTATCATACATACATTATGTATGTTATCGTATATTTGTATATATATACCATGGTACTTTGTGCTCGCCTAATTTCGAAATATTACATTTTAATAAGATGATATTCTTCATTTAATGGGTTGAGTTAATTACTTAATACACTTCATATTGTAATCAAAATTGAGTGCACAACAGTGAAAACTATTGACAGAAGTGATCATGATCATTGGAATTATGACGTTTACCCACTTGAGACAGCATGTGTTCACTTTGAAAGTGCTGTTTAAGTTTTACCATGGGCTATATAAACATCTCACATAAACCCAAACCATCACATCTCACAAAACAAGAGTTATTTAGCAAACAATAACTCTATACAAACTCAACAAAATAGAGTCTAAATAAATCCAACCATGATCATCTCGATCGCATTTACCTTGTTGTCGGGCCTACTGTACTGCTCGTGCGGGCCGTCCGACAAAATTTTCAACGATTTGCTGGATCAGCAAAACCCGTCATCGGGTAAGGCGCCCAAAACCGACCATGGTGGTCAGCCACCGTTCAAATACCCATTCTCATTTGCACACACCGGCGCTTTCACCGGTGGCTGGACTCGACAGGTCACTGTCCGGGACCTACCCATTGCCAAAGCCATGGCTGGGGTGCAGATGAAACTAATCAAAGGCGGGGTACGTGAGCTGCATTGGCACGCCTGTGCCGAGTGGGCCTATATGATCCAGGGCACTTGCCGCATCACCGCCATCGACGAACACGCTAGGGCGTTTGTCGAAGACGTCGCCGAGGGTGATGTGTGGCTATTCCCGGGCGGTATACCCCATAGCATACAGGGTGTGGGCGATGACGGGTGCTTTTTCCTGCTGGTGTTTGACGATGGTAATTTCAACGAGTTTGAAACATTCCTACTCACCGATTGGTTCCAACACATCCCACTCGACATACTGGCCAAGAACTTCGGTGTTCCACAGTCTACCTTCGCTAATATTACCCACGAAGAGATGTATATCTTTGCCTCACAAATGCCCCGCGGCTTACAAGAGGAGAAGACAGCCGCGGCTGTGGGCACGGCATATGTGCCGAACCCGTTCTCGTTCTTTGCCAGCAAAATGACACCTAATGTTACAAAATCTGGAGGTCTGGTCAAAGTGATCGACAAACGCAACTTCCCGGTGACAACTATGGCCGCCGCGATTGTCACCCTAAAGGCCGGTGCCCTCCGAGAGTTGCATTGGCACCCGAACGGACCCGAATGGAACTACTTTCTCAAGGGTAAGGCACGTATGGGTGTGTTCGCCGCGGGGGGTAAACACCGGACTATGAACTTTGAAGAGGGAGATGTGGGTTATATTGAACAGTCATCGCCCCATTATATCGAGAATATAGGCACCGATGATGTCGTGTTCATCGAAGTGTTTCCGACCGACACTTTTCACGATATATCGCTCGGCGAATGGTTGGCTCACACGCCGTCCAGACTCGTCGACGAACACCTGTTCACCGGCGAGAAGTTTATCGATGGTATTCCCAAAACCAAACAAGTTATCCGACCATAAAGTTATGTCTCTCTCATTGCAATTGTTATTGTTGTATAAATTTTGTTGTAATTAATTAATTAATATTTTACTAAAATAATAAAATATTACTTTATTATCTAAAGCTCGAGAGTCTGGGTTACCAAATGTAATTATAAACTCAATACTTATAAACCAATCCATAAACACATAATTATAAAATTACAGTTTATAGTTATTCTACATTAATGTAATCTTAAAATATTTAAAAATACATATTTCCATTAGTTATATGAATATTTTAGTCAGAAAATGTAGCAATCATTTACACTAAAACAAACTATGTTATTTTTAAATAAAAACATTAGATTTACTAATAGTTTGCATATTTATTGGAATTATGTTAATATTTTTCTACTGTAACCAACATTTGAATACTGTTTTAAGTTACTGTATTTAGTTGTTAAACTTCAGGTTACAAGTAACAAGCACAATTAATTAATGGGTTTTGTGGAATATGTATGCATTTTAAATAGTGATGGAAGTTATGTATGTTTTTATCAATGTTGTAAATATGTTGTGTTTCATTTGTTTTTATAAAACATTTAACATATTTTGTTTTAAATGCTCAATCAATTTCCAAAAGCATGGTCTTATATGTTCTTATAGATTTAACTTATATGAATTTATAATATTAATGCATATTTAGTATTAATCTACATTATTTTTAAATAAATATTTTAATAATTAAATGACATTTCACTTGGTAGTTACAGGAATATTTATCTGTACTAATTTCTAAAATTTAAATAAAATATTTTGACTTTTCTGTTGTAAAAATGTGAATTTTATAGCATATTTCCACAACAAAACCCGAAAATATAGTTTTATATGTCTAACCATATTTTGTCATTTTTAATTTCGTGTGTTTTATCACGTTTAATATGTTTCAACATTTAAATACCAAAACTAATTGTAAATTATACATAAATTATAATACTGTACAGTAAGTTAAATTACGATTAATTAAATGCATAATTCAAAATAACATCGCTGTCTATAAATATCTATTCATTTAAAAATAATTACTAATTATGATTATTGGAATCGCCAATTTTAGATGGCATGTGTTGATTTTGTAATACACACCTTGCTTAATTTAATTGTGATTCTTTATATAAACTACATTTAAAAACATAAATATTTAATACAAACATGATCATCTCAACCCTATTTACACTGTTGTCAGGCCTACTGTACTGCTTGTGTAAACCTTCAAATCTATTCAATACCGTATTGGACGATCAAAATCCATCATCATGGCACCCACCACCAACTGACCATGGTGGTCAGCCGCCCTTTAAATACCCATTTTCATTTGCCAAAACGGGTAGATTTAGCGGGGGCTGGACTCGCCAGGTCACTGTCCGGGACCTACCCATAGCCCAAGCCATGGCAGGGGTACAGATGCGACTGATAAAGGGTGGCGTACGTGAGCTGCATTGGCACGTAAGCGCCGAGTGGGCCTATATGATCCAGGGCACTTGCCGTATCACCGCGGTTGACGAACACGGTAGGGCGTTTGTCGAGGACGTAAACGAGGGCGATCTGTGGGTATTCCCCGGCGGTATACCCCATAGCATACAGGGTGTGGGCGTAGACGGCTGCTTCTTCCTGCTGGTGTTTAACGATGGTAATTTCAACGCGTTTGACACATTTATGCTCACCGATTGGTTCCAACACATCCCGCTCGACATAATGGCCAAGAACTTTGGTGTACCCGAGTCTACCTTCGCTAATATCACCCACAAAGAGATGTTTATATTCGCCTCACAAATGCCCCGCGGCTTACAGGAGGAGAAGACAGCGGCGGCTGTGGGCACGGCATACGTGCCGAACCCGTTCTCGTTCTTCGCCAGCAAAATGACACCCAATGTCACCCGATCTGGAGGTCGGGTCAAAGTGATCGATAAACGCAACTTCCCGGTGACCACAATGGCCGCCGCGATTGTCACCCTAAAGCCATGTGCCCTCCGAGAGTTGCATTGGCACCCGAACGGACCCGAATGGAACTATTTTATAAAAGGTAGGGCACGGATGGGTGTGTTCGCCGCGAGTGGTCAACACCGCACTATGAACTTTGAAGAGGGAGATGTGGGTTATATTGAACAGTCTTCGCCGCATTATATCGAGAATATAGGCACCGATGATGTCGTGTTCATTGAAGTGTTTTCGACCAATACTTATGCCGATATATCGCTCGCCGAATGGTTAGCCCACACGCCGTCTCGACTCGTCGACGAGCATATATTTACGGGCGAGAAGTTTATCGATGGTATTCCCAAAACCAAACAAGTTATCCGACCATAAAGTTATGTTTTCTCATTGCGATTGTTTTGTTGTATAAATTTAGTTGTAATTAATAAATATTTTTCAAAAATAATAAAATATTACGTTATTATCTATAGATACAGTGTATTGGTCCCAAACACTTGTTATAAATACAATGCTTATAAACCAATCCTTTAACACATAATTATAAAATTACAATTTGTAGTTAATCTAGAATTTTTATAATTCTTGAAATATTAACTAGAAAATATATAAAATTTTTATTTATAAGTTAAGTATTTAAAAGTGAAATAAAGTATTTACAAATTCATTATTATATTGTAATTCACTACTAGAAATTATTTTTAAACTTAAATTTTATTAGACATATATGTGATTCTTACACATGGGGCGCAGTTATATCCGGATGAACAATATTCATATAGTAAAATTATTATTAATCTTTTATGTTTAAGTGTTGTTGCTGAATTTCACTGTTTATATTAGATTAATATTATTATAAAATTCTATGCAAACTATCGAAATAAAATCTACATTTTTTGTAATTTTCAACCACAATTTAGATATGAATAATGTAGTTTAAGGGATTATTTGGTCACCCTTTCCATAAAAATACTTCTGTTTGACATTTGCTTGTTTCCTATGGAGAGGTTCCAATGTATTAAATTACCTTAAATAGTTTTAACTTAAATATGTTAAATATTAATTATCTAATGCTTTAATCTTTATATTAAATATTTATGTATTAATTAACAGTGGGAACGAACAGATAATGTAAACAAATATACAGATATAATACACAATAATAATTTAGCTATTTCAATTTATTATCTAACCTACGTATATACCAAACATGGTAGTCCTACACTTGAATTTATTAAAAATTTATCAATGTATAAAGTGAATAGAAAATTACACATATTAATTGATTGCTATATTTCATTATTTGCGATTATTAATAAATTAAGTGTAATACAATTGCAAAGAAAATTAGTTAGTAATAAAATATTTAATTAGTATAATTAATAATTTAGTAAATTATAAAATGTTGTTTATTTACAAATTATTTTTCCTAGTGTTATCATTATTTTATGGCATTCATTTGGTTAACTCCAATGGTATTGTTATTTAATTTTTTAACTATTTGTAATTGATCTTTCTAAACTATACATTTTAATTATTTATAATTAAAGCATTGATTTGAAGTTAAATAACTTTTTGTTCC